AAAAAAAAAAAAAAAAAATCAAAACTTCAGAGTTTTGTGTGTATTTACCGACGAGAATGACTCGTTTGTCAGGTTTGGTGGAGCACTTCATGCGACGAAGAAGCTCCGTCATGAGATCTACAGAGGGAAAGTCCTCCAAATTCGCTGATGATGGACTCGCCATTTTTCTCGATCTTCGTACTTCGATTTTCTCTCTCTACAGATCCCTGTATCGAACAGTGTTGGTGTAAAGGTTCGTAATATTTGTTCGGACCTTCCCAACGCCTGAAACTCACGGAGGGGTCTTCGCAAGTTTATCCTGTAAAATGACTATTACGCCTTCGGATCTATTACTGCGAGTTCGTCTCGCTCGAGGCATGGGAGTTTTATGTAAAAAAAAAATATTTTATTTATATTCGATTTATTTATTATTATTATGTATTTAATAAATGCAGTTTGTTAGTGTCGGGTATATATATATTGGGTTTATTCGGTTGTGGTATTAAAAATAGATAGATTAGATGTAATAATTCAATTTAATACAATACAGATAGCTAAATGACAAGATTAAATAGAATATTAAAATAATACGTAATTTTATCTAATGTTTAGGAATATATAACATAAACGATGAAATATAGTTATTTAATCCTCCAATCAATTGTTTTGTTAGGAAATTATGTCATCGTATTAGTGTTGAATTAACAAAAATATCCTCTATTAGTGTTTGTTACACTGATGATGATAGTTTAATTTTATTAGTTTGAGGGTTATAATAATTAATGTGTATAATAATATGTTTGAGTTGAATTATAATATCATATCTCTTGGTGTTATTAAAATACCTCTATAATATAATTTTATCATATAAAAAATATGCGATAAGTATATGATTAATATACGTTTTTGAAATTAATATAGTGTTAACTTTGCTTATCAAACAAAGTGTTAGGCCCGATTAAATAAAAAATAATACAATCTAATAAATACAATATGTTATTGTCGTACATACATATTATTACGTATAACTGGTATATAAATAATTCATATTATATATTTCTTTTTCTTGACTTTACTCATAATTGATTAATTTACTAATTGTATCGTATCATCCATAAAACAGGTGGCTAGACCAAAATTTTTTAATTTTGTATTATGTTCGTATCGTATCATATTTTCACATTCATAATTTCTCAAATTTATGCATATCTAGAAATGTAATTTTCTCTTTTCTATGTAGCCAACTTTAATGTTTAGAGAAGTAATTATTTTCTACCTTATTGTAGATAGACTTTAGAACACGTCATTAAGAATAACCCATGAAACCATTGGGTTAAGCTATTTTTTTATTTACTTATATTTATGATTAATCTGTGAATAAGTGGACATCTGACGATAACAATCCATGATTTACTTCGCAATAGATGTAGATATTTGTCAAAAAAATAATTAAGTACTTTCAGCGTTTTTAAAATAGCGGGAGGCTGAAATTATAAGCATAACACAAGGGCCAAAATTAGATTCATGTAAGTACCAGATAGCACAAAGCTCCAGTGCAAGAAGGTATAACTTGTAGGATACTTCAATTAGTTGCTTTTGTGACGACACTATCTGATTCTTTGCTTGCACACCCTGGATGAAGTTATTCACTCGAGGAGAATAGGCTTTTCATCAATAAGTTGTTACTTTGGCTCTGAAAAAGAAGGTTCCAATGAATCTGAGGAACAGAGCACACTATGGTCATGACCAACTAAAGATCACTGTCATCTAACGAATTGGATTTAAATCAATACCAAGCCACTTGCCCTTTTAGTAGATCGTGAATCAAACAATTCCAATGGCAAAACAATGAACATTAAAATCAAATTCTACTACTTCAGGATTTAATATACTACACAAAACAAGTTCTTAAATACCTAATTTTGATCACGATTCATGTACACAAGAAGAAGAAATGGAGGCTTGCATTTCACATATATCGAATCAGTATAGGAGCAGCCAAACAGATCATACCTACCTGAACCTCACCCAGATCAAACATTACAAAATTCACTCATCATCTTCACCTTTTGACTTCTTTTTCTTTTTCTTCTTACCTTCACTAGCAACTGGAGGATCCTCCCTGTCCTCATCTTTGTTCTTTTTTTTATTCTTTTTTGCCGTTCCTTCCTTTGCATTAAACCCTTCAACACCATTTGCATTCTGCTGTTCATGCTCTGGCTCCTGTTCCAATTTTCGCTTCTCCTTCTTTTTCTTCTTCTTTTCAGTTTTCGGTTCCTCAGAAGCATCTCCATTTGTAACAGCAGCTGGTTCATCCTCGGCCATGGCTTCACCATTACCATTTTCTGCAGCTTCGACTTTGGATTTCTTTTTCTTGCTTTTCTTTGCTGGAGTTTCAGTGGATACTTCATCTACATCCATTTCTGTATCTGCAAATGAAATCACAACCAGAACAAGGAAATATTATCAACTGCACCATCAACCATGAGTTAATTCTCCAACCACGAGGACAAAATAAATGACAACTAAACATCAACATCAATTGCACCAAAAGGTTCTCCCTGCGTGGAGCTAGCCACACCTGCCATTAGCAATCCCTATAAACCAAGTCCGGTGAGGCCATCTGCCATCACATATAACTTTTTTCTAAATGGTGCTGTCAAGTATAATTTATGCATGCACATATGTAGATAGATATCCCCCAAAAAAACTAAAATTTGATAAAAAGAACGTCAAAAGTTCCTGAATCAAACGGAATACTTCCTGAACAATTACGATGAAACAAGTAAAAGACAGAAGCCCGTGAATCCAAGTCTAACGGCTGCAAACTCAGATACAGAATCCAATAATACAAGTGAAGGCATTATGCATTGTCCAGATAGTAGATACTGACTTAGAGACGTGATTCTTTCGTTATCATGGTGTACTCCATCTTTCTTTGCCCCTCTAATTTCCTATTCTTTTTGTTTTTGCAACATCATTCAGTACCCAAATATTTCATTATCAATTAAAAATTAAAAACTGCACCCACATGTCATCCCATCACCGACCTTTGTTTTGAGCATTTTCAATGGCAACTTTCATCACATCAATGTTTTTACGAGGTGCAACCCCATTGTCATAAAATTCAAGCCGCTCCTCAACCTGTTCACGAAGTTTCTCTCCAAAAGCTGTAGTATTTTTCTCTGTTCACAGAAGAGAAGATACAGTTAAATTTTCTGTCGCTGAGATGAACTGACAAGAAATCATGTAATAACATAAATTTTTGGTCATAGAAATGACAAACATACCCAAGAAACAGTCAATTCGAGAAGCAATTGAGCACTTGTTTGCAAGATAACGAGCCATTCGACCTTTGTTTCGAGCAGATGCCCGTCCAATAAATGAAGAATGAAATATAAGACCATACTTTGGTGTGTTCCCTTTGGTTTTCAATGCCCTGAAACCAAACCAATGAATGAGTGATACAGGGAATGGGATGAAAGGAATTTTCAGAAAACAAATAAAAAAGTAGTCAAGAATTCAATCATACATAAGCTCAAATAGTAGCTTGATGTCAGTGTATCTCAGACATATGCAGAATCAGGCTAAAAAAATGGCCAGGTACTGTCACTCCAGAATTGTTTCTCTGCTAATTCAAACTTGTATGGTAGAAAAAGCATGTGCACAATACTACCATTATGAGAATGCCAAGGAAAAGTAGAACACCTGAAGAGTGCCTTCTCTGCACCAAGGATCTGAAGGGTGGAAGAAGGGCATTTTGCCAGATTTGTAAGACTACCAGCATGAGAAATCAGACGAGCTCCAACAACTTCACCAATCAGCGCAGCCAAATTGGGTGCTATGTCATTCATTTTAGCAACCAGATAATCATAGAGTTTTTTCCTGTACTCTGCAAGGTCCATTATCCTTTGCGCAAATTGTTTGACATTAATCAAGTCAACTAGGGACAAATCCTGTCCTGAACAATGACAATAGTTCGACGTGAGTACAAAATGGGATGTGGTTTCACCACAAGATAAGTTAACGAAAACTATACCCATGGATGCTTTGGCAGCTTCTACAATCTCTCTTGCTTTATCTTCATCTCCAATTACATCTGTCAAGCCTGGTATTTTATCTTCAGACAACTGTGATTTGTCCTCCACATGTTTTGCAACTTTAGCATACAAATAGTTGTCATTGACTATCTTCACTAATTCAGGGAAATGCCAAGAGTACCATTCTCTGAAGAGAAGTATCAGATCAGAGAACAACACTATACGATTCAAATAAAAATAATTAGGAAGGCATACGATCTCATAAGAACATCAAAACGACAGACGTATACCCCCACCACCACGCACTCTCTCTCAAACACACAATAAGAACATTTTCTTACTACGTTAATCTTTGAGTTCTACAACAGAATAAACCCTCAAGTTGATACTTTCAGGATATATCTAACATACAAAAAATGAGAGAGAGAGAATACTAACCTGACCCTCATGGAAAACGAATTGATATCTTTATCAAGGGTATCTAGAAGGAAAATTGCCTGAATAACCATATTATCAACACGGTTGACATTGAACTTGACCTTTGCCCTGCTGTAACTGTGACCCAGACCAAGTTGCGCTTTCTCCAAGTCACCAGGCTATAAGAGTTTTAGGAAAGCAGGGGGGAGGGAGGGAGACGAAGTTGGGTGCAACTGTCAGATGAATTGCACATAACACAACGCACTCTGCTAGGTAATACAAACCATGGAGGGAGATTGAGAAAAAAGGAGAAAAAGAAATGCAAACCTTCAGGTTCTCAATGAACCTATCAAAATGTAAGCGAACACCGCGAAGAAGCTCAAGTACAAACTCGCCACTTTGGCAGGGGATCTTGGTTATTTCATTAACATGCGACCCAAGCTTGGGCTCTGCAACTCCTAAACTGAACTTAGGCTTCTTACCTTCCTTGACTTTTGGCAGACTAAGTTCCAAAAAGTTCCTTAACTCATCAGTCATATGGCCTGAAAACCCAAATTCAGCAAGTGCTCCAATTAGCCACCCAACAAAACCAAACAAGATGATAAATGATACAAATTGGAACATGAACCAAAGCTCCAGCCTCATAACTCCCAACCTGCATGCTATAAGGATTTGTGATAATCTCAGTCAATTTTGAAATGTAAGTATACAAATGCATTTGGTTGAGGATGAAAGGTAAAAGCAGCAAATTTTTTAATCAAATTTTAATTACCTGGAAACTTTTATTTTAATGGGAAATGAGAGCATATCCAAATTTGATTTTCTTTCATTGCCTTGGTTATATCAGCCACCATAAGGAGGAAAACTCCTCATTGCTATACATTGATCTAAAAAATATTTCAAAATTGAGCTCTAAAGCACGGGGATAATCAACCAAGACTAGGTAAAACCACATATCACTCAGTTTTATTTGCTACTTTCGGATAAAAACTCATTGTTGCTAGACACTTGCGCTTAAAATTTTCTATGAATGAAAGCAAAACATCTATAGCACAAATACTAAGAAAAGATAAAAAAATGTATATGAACTCAATTCAGCTCACATCCTTTTTCATTGTTCCAAAGCAGCAAAAAAGTGCAAAGAATATTGGTGTCACTCAACAATAATAACTTAAAAACTACACAATAAAACACAAAACAAACACATCAGAGAAAGAATGATAATGAGGTTCAAAGTACACAGACATTCCTACCACGTGTACATTAGAAATTATAAAAATCCTATTTCGAATGTCTCGTTCAGTGTTACTTCGGCCCTCAAAATGAAGCTATCCACCTCGACTAAAAACAGGACCTTACTAAGCAACCTTGCACTCCATTGGGTTTGTGGATTTAGAGGAGGAAACGAAAAGAAAACATAAATGAAATCATTTTCACTTGTTCAGTAGCGATAGAAATAAAAAGGGGAAAAATAAATATGTGCCTAAGTAAGATCAACTTTTTTGCTCTTCTTTCCTGATTTCCAGTAACATTTGACAAAGTTTTGAATTTGTTGTTTTATTTAACAAGGAGAGCAAATAGGAGGACATTCTCATTCCTTTACATTTTCCTTTTCCATTTCCGTTTTTTCACCAAATCCAGGGATCAAACAGAGTGTCTCCTCAACTTCCTATTAAGGAACATTTTTCCGCATTTTCTCATCAATAACCATGGACAGACATTACGCAAACAGAAACCCAATAACAAAACAGCACATAGAACAATCAATCTCTTGGGGGTTTTTCAGATGTGCCTTCCAAGTTTTGAAAGCAAATTGACATTAATATTCACTTCAAAAAGAAAAAAACACAGGAAACAACACATTACCATGTAGTATGCACTAACATGACGAATTAGAGCAAACACTAACTACTTCATCAATTGATGCAACACCAACCCCAAAAAAACCCATCAAGTAAATACAGAATGTAGAACACATAAGCAGAAATTATGGGTAACAGTGCTTACCTTCGGAGACAGCATTGCATTGATTGAGAGCGTCGAGAGCGGACTCAAAAGGGTTAAAAGCTACGAGCTTTACAACTTTTCCAAATCGGTTGAGATCGGCAACTGAGTTCCGAACTGCCTCTGTGTGTTGTCCGATTTCGTCGAGACCGTGAGCCAGAAACAGAGTATATCCAGACGCCGACTCGTACAACAGATACAGAGCCATTTTTGACTCTATCACAAGAAGCTTAGAGGTTCACCTCTCTCTCTCTCTCTCTTCTGTATAGGTTTCTCCCTATATGCTTCTCTGCGAGACGCTCGAGGGACTGGGTAACGAGCATTTGAGGATTAGGGTTTAGGGTTTCTCTATTTGTTGTTGGGGAGGGAGGGTTTGATTTAGTGGACCTGGGACTATGTAGTACAATATGTGGACCTCTTATTTGGATTAGGATCAGCCAATAAAAAGATCAGTTGGGACCCACGGGAACTACAACATTCTTTTAAATCGTCCAACAAAATGCCACCACATTTTTTTCACCAACATCTGTGCAATTGACAATTTGGCCTCACATCTTTGGATACAATTTGCAAAATGAAAAGAAAATGAATAAGTTGGTATTTGGAGTTTAATGGATTGGTTGATAAATGGGTGATAAATTGACATGAAACTTTCAAATATGGGATTCGATTGAGGTTATTGCTTGAAGAGTTTGCCACCGATTCCCATGAGTAAGAGTGATGTAGCATTTTTCTCGAAAAACTAGTTATATCTGCTTATATATCGATCGTTTGATGATCTTTATGGGTATGAAATAGTTTCTCGTTTGCTCAAGCTTAGCTTAGATAGATAGGGTGGTCCCTTTTTGCTGGATTTCGTTAAGTTGCCACATACTCTATAGAAATTTGACAATACGGTATTGTCCATATGATCCATTCACATTTAAATATATAAGCATTAAACATATCTATCGAAAGAATATCATTGTGAAAAATAAATTTAAAACAAAATTATAAAAAATATCCAAACAATGAATATAAAATTGCTGCTCTAATTGAAACGAGATGATAGAATGAGTTTCTCATTTCTAAATATAATCTATACTATTAATTAAGATGTATTTTTATTTAGTTTCCTCTCTCTTAACAAATAGTTAATAATAAGTAGTCACCAATTTATAATAGATAGTGTTTACAACCGATCATAATGGTTTTCAAACTCTCAAATCTCACAAATCTTAGTTTATAGTTTTGCAAACTCTTATGCAATGTTTGATAATCTAACTCAACACTTGGAGTTGAAAACATTCAACACTTTTTTCAATTAAGTGTGTTTAATAATCAAAAATCACATCATTAAATTTTTTTAAGACCTCTTAAAAATATGTTAAAATTATAAATATCAATTCACTTATTTATCATATAATGCTGAAAATATTAGTTAATCATAATTTATAACTTTTATAATATCACCACCATTATTGTAATCACCACTACCACTATTGCTACTAACTTACTATTGTTGCCACTGTCACCATCACTTACCATCACCATCACTAATGTTGTCACTATTGCCATCATTACTATCATTGTCTCCACTATGACTGATGTTACTATTGGTATCACCATCATTTTTCCTGTTATCACCCTGCCACCACCAACCCCATAGTCTTCGTCAGCTTCTTCGTAGCCACTACTATCACAAACATTGTCGCTACAATTACTCTCACCCCCTCCGGCCATCACCCTTACTACTACCACTCCACCATATCTGCTACCACCCCCTATTGACACCACTAATACCAATACTATCTCCATCACCACTACTGTCATCACCCCCACATCATCGTCACCACCACTACTACAATTATCATTACTATTTTGTCACTACTCTATCCTATCCCACTCCCAGTTACGCCCCTGTTTCAGAGACGTGTTGCTTGATTAAATCAATCGATCACAATAAACTATAAATATCTCCGAATATAGGGACAGAGCTCTAATTGCTTCAATAAATTTATAATCACAATTTTGATCTCCAAATACCAATAAAAGTTAAAAATTATATTAAAATTCGTCCATCTTTGATTCCTCAAATATCAACTTTGGTCATTCCCTCCAAAATTATCCTGAAAAAAATATTAAATGCAGGAAAATATACAATATGACAAGAAATAATATGCTCAACAAGAAAAATATGATGATCAAATACTAAATAATTCAATCGATAGACAATCATAGATAAAAAAAATCAAGAATCTAATTTGATAAGTCACATATCTCAATTTCTATCAAATATAGTATCTTACTTGGTTTATCTTAGTGACATGACAAGTGACACTTGAATATTTAAATTTCATACTCATATCAAACTATTACATTCTACAGGACTATAATCACAATCGCACCTCCGCAGGGGCTATAATCACATTTCATCAATTATGTCTCAAGTACACTTCGTACATGTACCAATTAATTTCAAAGTATTTAACCCAATGTATAGGTCAACCGATAAAATTGAGAGAATTTTGTATCAATTAGAATAATTAATAGAAATATAAATTGCAAATAATCAAATGACACTCTTTGCAAAGAGATTTAAAAGATAGGAGCATATTGTATACTATCTCGTACTTCAAAATCATTAATAACTTCAATAGATGAGAAATTCGAAGTACCTCAAATAAGACACTTCAATTTGATAATGATCAAAAATAAAATTCACTATTTAATTTTTCACCCAAAAATTTCATAAATTTCTCTCTCTTTCTCCCTCTCATGCGTTTTGGCCACCAGAATAAGGCTATTTATAGCCCAAGCTTTGCTTCAAACGTCACTTAGGTGACTTCACTCCTTTTTGCATCACATGAATAAGTGTCCAAGTTTTGTCCAAGTTTCTTTTTTTGAAGTAGAACATATGTTAATTGATTGTCACCCTGAGTTTCTGACACACACACACACACACATATATATATATTACACCTTTATTATATCATTCGAATATCACATTATTTTTAACTCAAAATATGACCTATATTATAGTCAATTGATTTATTTTCACATAAAGAATTTATATTTGACATTCATTAATTTATTTAATTTTTTTAAAAAAATAACTCTTAGTTATATAGAATTATAATTGACGACCTAATTAGCGTATTAATGCAAATTGTTATATGAGACGTCACAATCTATCTCCTTAAAAGAATTTTGTCCCCGAAATTCAATACTAATTTCAAAAGTAAAATAAGTATGAATACATTATACGAATATCCATTGCGCACGCTGATACTTTTTTCAACTCTTTACGATATGACCCAAAATTTTGATATGAATTCCAACTTATACATACATCTAATGGGAATTAGTTGACTTACTCCACACACTTCAAATTTCTATACCTACAGCTAAAACTGATAGTCTCACTTACCACAAGACCCATATAAGATTTGATACATAAGCTTTGATACCACTTTGTAACGTTCCCATATCAAGGACGCATTACTTGATTAAATCAATCGATCACAATAAAATCNATATAGTATCTTACTTGGTTTATCTTAGTGACATGACAAGTGACACTTGACTATTTAAATTTCATACTCATATCAAACTATTACATCCTGCAGGGCTATAATCACAATCGCACCTCCGCAGGGGCTATAATCACATTTCATCAATTATGTCTCAAGTACACTTCGTACATGTACCAATTAATTTCAAAGTATTTAACCCAATGTATAGGTCAACCGATAAAATTGAGAGAATTTTGTATCAATTAGAATAATTAATAGAAATATAAATTGCAAATAATCAAATGACACTCTTTGCAAAGAGATTTAAAAGATAGGAGCATATTGTATACTATCTCGTACTTCAAAATCATTAATAACTTCAATAGATGAGAAATTCGAAGTACCTCAAATAAGACACTTCAATTTGATAATGATCAAAAATAAAATTCACTATTTAATTTTTCACCCAAAAATTTCATAAATTTCTCTCTCTTTCTCCCTCTCATGCGTTTTGGCCACCAGAATAAGGCTATTTATAGCCCAAGCTTTGCTTCAAACGTCACTTAGGTGACTTCACTCCTTTTTGCATCACATGAATAAGTGTCCAAGTTTTGTCCAAGTTTCTTTTTTTGAAGTAGAACATATGTTAATTGATTGTCACCCTGAGTTTCTGACACACACACACACACACATATATATATATTACACCTTTATTATATCATTCGAATATCACATTATTTTTAACTCAAAATATGACCTATATTATAGTCAATTGATTTATTTTCACATAAAGAATTTATATTTGACATTCATTAATTTATTTAATTTTTTTAAAAAAATAACTCTTAGTTATATAGAATTATAATTGACGACCTAATTAGCGTATTAATGCAAATTGTTATATGAGACGTCACAATCTATCTCCTTAAAAGAATTTTGTCCCCGAAATTCAATACTAATTTCAAAAGTAAAATAAGTATGAATACATTATACGAATATCCATTGCGCACGCTGATACTTTTTTCAACTCTTTACGATATGACCCAAAATTTTGATATGAATTCCAACTTATACATACATCTAATGGGAATTAGTTGACTTACTCCACACACTTCAAATTTCTATACCTACAGCTAAAACTGATAGTCTCACTTACCACAAGACCCATATAAGATTTGATACATAAGCTTTGATACCACTTTGTAACGTTCCCATATCAAGGACGCATTACTTGATTAAATCAATCGATCACAATAAAATCACAAATATCTCCGAATACAAGGACAGAGCTCTAATTGCCTCAATAAATTTATAATTACAATTTTGATTTCTAAATACCAATAAAAGTTAAAAATTATATCAAGATTCGTTCATCTTTGATTCCTCAAATATCAACTTTGGTCATTTCTTCTGAGATTATCTTGAAAAAAAAATATTAAAATCGGGGAAATATACGATATGACAAGAAATAATATGCTCAATGAGAAAAATATGAATGATCAAATACTAAATAATTCAATCGATAGACAATCATAGATAAAAAAAATCAAGAATCTAATTCGATAAGTCACATAACTCAATTTTTATCAAACATAATATCATATTTAGTTTATCTTGGTGACATGACAAGTGACACTTAAACATTTAAATTCTATTCTCATATTGAACTATTACACCTCTGCAGTGCTGTAATCATAATCGCACCACGCATGGACTATAATCATATTTCACCAATTATGCCCTAAGTACATTTTTCGTACATGTACCAATTAATTCCAAAGTAGTTAGTCCAACGTACAGGTCAACCGATAAAATTGACAAAATTTCGTATCAATTAGAATAATCAATACGTATACAAATTTTACATAATCAAAGGATACTCTTTG